CCCTGCCTGCCCTGCCCCACGCCCGGTCGCTCATTTCTTTCTCCGCTTTCGCCGGGCACCACCGCCGTGCCTCTGTGGCTCCTGCGGTGTCCTACTGACCGCCCTGACGGCACGGCCCCGGACCCACCGGCGGCGATGTGGTGTATTTATAGCTGCGGCCGTTGCGGGGCGGGGCGGGGCGGGGCGGGTCTCTGCCCGGCGTCCCGCTGCAGAGATGCCCGCTGCGCTGCGCCCGCGCCCACGGTGGTGCAGTGTAGCTAAGCCGCTGGCTTTGGCGCCGTGGGCCGCGGTATGCACCACACCTAGGCGCGGGGCTTCTCCTCCGCGCCCGTGACTATGGGCCGGGCTTCGCGCCGGCCTCGCTCTTGCCGGCTTTGGCCGCGCCGTCGGCGCAGCAGCGGCACCGAGCCGAATCCGCGGCCCGCGGCCGGGGGGCGGATTGCTCGATTTTTTAAACTGACCCTTTTCCTCTGCCGTCCCGGGCCGCGCGTGGCGTGGACTCCCGCGCCCAGCCCCCCCCCCCTCTCCCTCCGGTTTGTTTTGCGCCCGGGCCGGCGGTGCCAAAGAGCGTTGTCCTGGCGGCGTCTGGCGTCTCTGTTTTTTTCGCGATCGATGTCTTTACTACCGGCACCCCTTTCCATTCCCCCTCGCTGCTCAGGTGCGGTGGGGCTGGGTGGGTGCGCACACTTGCTACTTGCGAGCTCGTTTGCGTTCCTCTCCGCCTGGGGATTTTCATTTATCTGGAAAAGTATTTGAGGGAAATTTTTCCAAAGTTTCATTGTTTCACAATTTTCCGTATATATTTCATTTTTTCCCATTTTTATTTTTCTGGAAAAGTAACTTTTTTCCTTTAGAAAATTATTTTGGACTTTGAGATCCCTACCTCCGCCACCACCACAACACTCCTGAGCGGGCGGGCCGGCGGCCAGGGCCAGGGCCGCCGTGGTTTGGCGCGGCGTGTCTCGTGGCACGTTGGTCACGTGTCTTCCCTCCGTGCGACGGCGGCGGCCGCGAACTGGTCGAGAGGGCAGCGCCGCCGCGCCACTTTATAGCTGTCGACTAGTGTAAGTTCGCCTGCTGCACTTTGCTTCGCGCGCCTGGCTTAGTAATGGCGAGATACTCACTCGGGCGAATGACCCCCGACTTTGACGCGCTACCGCCCTCCCCCCTCACCCGCCTTTGCTGGCCGCTCGTATGCCCCCTCAACCCCTTAGTCATCCGCCCGACCGGCGCCCACCCTCGCGCCGCCCCACCCCACCCAACCTCACCTAACCCCTCCCCACCTGCCCCACCTCTCCCCCCACCTCACCCCGGGCTGCGCTCTGCCGACCACCCGACCTGCGACGCCCGCCGCCGGAGTGGCAACATCGACGACCAGCTAGTCAGCTAATTGTTTGTTCGGTTCCAGTGAAATTCGCGACGACATATTTAGTTTTCGCCAGCCGCAGAGCTGAGACGCGCGGATTCTGCCGGTGCGGGACACCGCCGCTGCCGGCTTCCGTGCGGCGAACTGCTGCGTGAGTCGGAAGACGCGCGCAGAGACCGTTGCTCTTCTCCCTTGCGTCCCGCTCGGCATTTCATACTTTCTCCTCCCCGCTCAGACAGACCACGCGACCACGTGCCATAAGGTCGTCGAACCCCCCGCACCTGATCGTGCTCACCATTCTCATTCATTTGTAACACCACGCGGATCGGCGACGGCGTGCTGCCAGTTTCCCGTCTTCCATGGCTTGCTTCAGTGCGCGCCCACTCTTCCTCGTTTTGGCAATATAAGGGGTCATCCAGAGAGTGCGCCCGTCGTTTGCCGTTTATACGAACGTACCGATAGTTTCAGCCTCTGGAAACCTCTCAGAACGCCTGATGGGTAGGCAACATCTCGCCTGCCGCGCATGCGTGCACTGCGGGGTGGCCTACCCCGAGGCTCGCAGGCGCCGAGCTGGCGTCATTTGCCGAATACGAATCTCAGAAAAACGGACGCACTTTCTGGACCATCTCCCTAATCTCTGGCGCAAGTTGTATAGAGCACTGAAGCAGTAAAATTGGCCTATGAGCCCCTTGCGTGCACGCAACGTACACTACCTACAGCTCGGGTTAACAGCTGCACTTGCAACCGCGCCTGGCCTGAAGGCAATGGAAAGGAAGGGGGGGGGGGTCTGACTCTTTCAGCTTTTCGGTCTCGAATCGCGTCCCTCGCAGTGCGGCGGGCTCGATATCTCGTTTCCTGTGTGTCGCGTCCGCCGCCGGCGCGGGCGCGGGCCTTCCGCAGCCACCCCCCTCCTCCCTCCACCCGCCACCACCACTGCGCTTCAAGGCGATCTCTCGGCCGCATTGCCAAATGATTGCGTTTTATCTAACTGCGCCTATATGAGCCGACTCGTGTGTGCTTGTTCGGCGCTGTGTCGCCGCCACCACGGGGGCCCGGCGACACATGCATGCACCGTGCGCGGGGCGGGGAGCGGCGGCGTGTGGCCGACGACTAAAGCCTCTCCTAGCCTTCAGCAGCGTCAGGCTGCTGCTGCCGTGAGGGCGTGCGGACGGCTCATATGAGCAGCAAGGTGCGTCGCGAACTAGTAAAGCCACACCACGCTACGCCTCGGAGCCACACGCTCCGGACACTTCAAGTGCTGATAAAAAGTGAAAAGGGCGTAAGTCCAATGGCAAGTCCGAGGACTTGCGCCCTTTTCAGTTTTCATACCACATACCAGTGACTTGCTGTGGGAGTGTCCGCCCGCCCGCGCCGCCAGCAGCGCCCCCGCGGCGCCGCCGCCGCTGCCCCGCCCTATCTGCAGCTGGCCGTTGATTCATCCTCCTCCTCCTCCCGCCGCCGCCGCCGCCGCCGCCGCCGCCGCCGCCGCCGCCGCCCGGACGACGCCAAGCAAGAGGAGGGCGTCGACGCGACGACATGTGACGCGCGGCGGCCGCGACGCAGCCGTCTCGCTCCCACTCGAGCGTGGGCCGCGTGGGATGGACACAATAATGCAACCACGTCGTGTTTGTCGCACTCGCTTTATGAAGCCGTGATTGTCCCGCGGACATCTGGTCTGTCTCTGCGTCGCGCCGGCAGGATAGGAGGCCCTCCGGTGGTGACCGCCGCGACGACGCGGGCATCCTTCGTTTGGTTTCGGACTTTTTCAATTTTTCTCCTTCCCCCCTCTCTCTCTCTCGCTTTCTCGCTGACCTCCTCCTTTCCTAGCGCGTTTGTTATTTATTTTAATCGACTAGAGTCGCGCGTCGCGCGCGGGAAAAACAACAACAACTGAAATCAAGGCGCGCGGACGCGCGCTCTGCGCTGAGATTTGAACCCGTGACCTTGCCTCCGTGCTGCCACCACCGCCGTGGTCGCGGTCAGCCGCCTGTGACCTAAATTAGGTCGAGTGGGTGGCTTTTAACGGCACGATACATGATGTGTTGTCCCCGCCGCGCGATGCCTCTCCTCGCGAATGCGCTGCTCGCTTCTCAAAGTCGCCGCGTGCTCGCTTTGTTCGTCGTGCGACGTGCGTGGCGATGATGATGTCTTTGCGCTGCCTCGCCAGCGAAAACGAGCCGCGACGTCTTTGGCTTTTCGAAAGCGCCCCTCCCCCCTTCCTTCTCCGGGTAAATGAACCCAAAGGAGCAGCAGGGGGCCTTATTCTTGAAAAACCACATGACGCCGGTTTCACCGTGGAGTTCGACAAACATGAACGACAACAACAACAGCAACAACTGGTGGGCAGGGCGCGCGGGTCGGTCCCCTTCGCTGCAGCCTCACCCTCAACGCAAATGCTAATGAACGGCACAGCTTTGATCGGTAATTTTCCTTCCCCGGCCGGGTTGGGTTGGGACCCGTGAGCGCTCGAGGGGAGCATCACGTCGTTTCCTTTCCCTTTTTCCCCTGCTGCGCGTTGCTCACCCGGGCCTACCTGGTCCCCTGGGTACGTCCGTACCCGAAAGGGGGAGGGGGACCTGGAAGGAGCATTCCGTTCGCCTCGTCCTAGCCTCGTCGCGCTGCACCACCGCACCGCTCCTAGGCGAGCGAGAAGTCGGCCATGGGTGTTTTTACGAATGAGTCCAGCCTCAGCGGCGGCGGGGGGGACCGGGGACCCCGACCCAGCCCAACCGGCGGCCGGACTAGGCCGGACTTCCCTGCCGCTGCTCCTGCTGCTGCTACGCCTGCTACGCCGCGCCGAGGCGGATGTTATTGGCGCGAACAGGGTGGCCTTTGCCGCGTCGTGGCGCACAGCCGATCGCTCGCTCGCTAGCTAGCTCGCCCGCTCGCTCGCTAGCTAGCTCGCCCGCTCGCTCGCTTCGCGTAGCGCGCTACGTGGAAATAATAAACTGGACATTTTTACGAACGTTTTAACACTTTTGGCACCTCATACACACAAGTCGGTCGATTTCGTATAGACGCGCAAGTTCACCATCAATTAGTTTGGCGCCTCGTGTGTGCAATACCGCGAGTCACAGCAAAGTGTGACAAACCGACTGAATTAAGCAGGAATGCGCCAAACATAACCCACGAGCCTTTTTCTCCGTGCATTCCAGCCCCCCCCCCCTACACGGTAAAAACAATGTCTTATTTTATTTTTATTTTTTTGAGGAAAAGGGGGAAGCTTTGAGGAACTCCCATGTTTAAGGGAGAGTCCGATCTCGCCTCAGATTTTGAGGAATATTCTCAAAAAATGAGGAAAAATCCCACATTCTTTGAGGAGACATCCTCGAAATCTGAGGAGTTTTTGTCAAACCAGGGAAGTTCCTCAAATTTTTCCCTTTTCCCTCAAAAAAATGAGACATTGTTTTTACCGTGTACCGATCTCGTGATCTCTCGGCCCGACCGTTTTACTCCCCTCGGGAACTCTCCCGGCCTGATTATTACTCCTCTCGCCGAGCTCCACCGCACTGTTAGTGAAAAGCCTGGATTTATCCAAGCCTGCGTATGGAA